TAACTTTCTTAGACAAAGATCGATGTGTGTCCAAAAGAACACATACTTTGCTTTCTTCCTTTGCCTCTAAACTCTAGGATCATGCCCATCGGCTGGCTGCAGGGTAACTGTTAGTTTACTGAGCCGCCTAGCACGAGCCTGTGAGGTCACCCGGGACAGGGTAAGGCTTCCCTTCCTGCGCCCCCTCGCTAACCCAGGGCACGCAGAAGACTCGCAATCATGTCTGAATAACTGTCTCAGTCCCTGGCTGATTTTCATGGTCAATTCCATTTAGATGTCAAACACTAATTTTGTTTGAATTCAACCAAGAGGAATGAAAGAGAAGCTTCAGAGTGAAATAAATTCACTGAGTGGTCTCTGTATGGGGCCGGGGGAAAGGGCGACCAGCTTTCGAGGTTACTGCTATACCTGAATAAGGTGATATTAGATTACCTTAAAAAGGTTTAACAGAACCTTTGAACCTCAAATACAATATATCTCTGGGGGAAAAACCTTTCTACCTGCGCACTACCCTATACTCCACAAAGACAGTGTTGTTTTCCTAGGGCGAAGGCACCGCTGCTGAGACCCTGCCTGGCCGGGCTACTGCGAAGACGTGAAGAGGGGCCGCCGAAGCGGGTGCGGGGTGTCCGCGTGGGAGAGGCCACTATGAATGGGGCACCCACACCCCTGCTTTGTGAGCGGTTTATCATTCCTCCAAAAAGCTGACGACGCCTGGGAGTAGAGATAAGGGAAAATATATGAGAGTTTGGCTTAAAAAAAAATGAAAAAAAATCTGTGGCTTTCTGTTTCCTGGTGTGCCGTGTGGCCTAGTGACATTTAAGCAATCAGAAATGTACCAGTTCGATCAAGGATTGCTGAAAAGATCAATGAGCTCTCGCTAGAAAGCGCAGCGAAAGGTAGCAGGAGGCGTAAAAGAGAGCCACGTTTTCAAGGGACGCGAAAGAGCGACCAAGGCCTTAACACAGAAAAGAGAACTGAGCGCACTGTGAAATTTTACAAAGGTCCAGAAATATAATTACTCAACAGCACATGACTGCAAACTCTAGGAGCAATAATGCCCTTATTTTTTTTCCCTACAAAATGAATTATTGAAAGGGGTCACGTGGCTCTTAGCAGGCAGAAAGATGCACTTTCCCAAGGAAAGTTCATCGTTAAATATATCATTTAAGGCTGGATCATCTTCAGGCTATTTTTAATCTTATCATTTTGCTGCCAAAATTGGCCATTAGCCGGCCGATACTCAGCCGCTGGAAAAAGGATGCTTTTTCATGTATTTTGTACACAGGCATGAGAATGGTATTGCTTTCCAGTTAATCAAATGTTTTGGTAGACATGGACTAGATACAGAAAAGAGAAACTGCTTGTCGACCAACTAATAAAAAGGAAGCTACCTCTACTGGATGTGGAGAAGTAAGTTTCTGTCTTCCTTAACCACAGAGACCAAAAGACGAAAAAAAAAAAAAAGGCGGGCCACCATCTCATCAACAGAATGAAGGCAGGCTCCTGGTAAGCCATCTCATTAGCCCACATCTCGCTCTCTTCTAAGACATGAAACTAAATATCACATTTCTCAGTCTGGAGGGTGCTGTCAGTTTTCACTCACCATCAACCTGCCCGTATCTCAGCCCTTTGCTTGCGAGAGCCCCTTCATCTGGAAGCAGTGTCGGGGCCAGTAAACCCATCTACAGAATTTCAACGGTGTTACGAGGGGATAAAATAATAACTAACGCAGCTATTAAAGGAGCTAAATCTCCCGCCTTTCGTCGGAGCAGGAAAGCTATCTTGTTTTAATGGGCGATGCCAATACAAACTCGATAGCTACCATGAAAAACATTCCGGAGAAGACTGAGCTTATCATAATTCATCTCCCGTCTCTTTCCTTCCAACCTGTATCTTCCAAGGGTCCCATCAGTCGAGCGGACATCTGGGAGATACTCAGTATTCTAGGTAATACCATGGCCCTGTGAAAGGGACACCGGAAGATCCATCCCAGATTGTCATTCTTTGTAAAAGATGTCCCCAGGAATGGTAGATGATGGTGGCCAAGCATCTCTAACTTCAACACGCGCACAAACACCTGTAGATCATGTGGACCACAGATTCTGACTCCCCAGCTCCGGGGTGGGACCTGAGCTTCTGAATCTCCGCGACGTTCCCACGCTGCTGGTCCACGAACCCCATTTCGCCCAGCAGGGTCTTAGACATTCCCCGGAACTGCTGCTATCTCTCTGCTCCCTCTGCAGTGCCTCTCTCTGGATGCCACACAAGGCCTTGTGCAGACTTAGGAATAAAGCCACACCCCACTCGGCACCCAATTTCTTCTTTAGTCTTTCTTTAATGTGTAGGATTCTGGGACCATCTGTCAACTGCCTCTCATCCCAAGGCCCTGCTTTCTCCAAGTCATGGAACGTGGAACGCAAACCGTTTCCTCGGCCACGAGAGGTTCTGACTTAGCAGCAGCAGCAACAACAAAGAAAAGCAGTGATGTCAAGTCTAAAGCCCCCATCAGTATATATTCAGTAGGCAAGCTGATCCAGAGTCCTGGACCCAGTGCAAGTCACTGTCAAATGTCAAAAGAATGTGCTAGCTCTCTCCTGAAACTTTATTATTGTTATTAAGAGTACTTTTCACTGTAAGATGCAACATATCATTAGAGACGGAACCCTCAACAGATGCAAATTTGGAGGAAAATCTGTCTGTACGCCAGACGTCTAAAACAAGGATTTAGATTAAGAATGCACATTCGAAAGGACGGGTAAATCATTTCTGCCACTTTTATTCCGGCATGTCCACTTACGATTGCATCTGCTGATATAGACTTTTTTGCCAAATTCCTTTGTTTTCCTCCAGAGTCACCCATCTATATGTTGTTCCGAAAACTACACATTTTACCATCAGCCATCTGTGCTTCTCTCTGATTTATTTTTACTATAAGAGGTTTTGTCAAAAAAATGTTATCATGTTCTATGGTATGTCGTTGTGGTTTGGCATCATAAAATATAGCCTCTACATTTATTAACCTCAGATACCTGTTGACCACAAAGATGGGCTCTACAACAAAAACTCTATTTTATAAGGAGGAAAAGCAAGGCTTCACTTAAAAAGAGCACTCAACTGCATGAGATTACTACAACTCAACAACAAAGATCAAGGTTATGTCTTAATTTCGATCATAACCATATGTCTCTGTTTCCCATCTTTTTATTAAATAGCTTGACAGATGACAGTTACCACCTTGGCTTTCTTTCGACTAGAAAGAACATTTTTAGGTATTTTATTTTTCATAAAAAAATATGAAACAGAAAAGCTGTTTAATCAGTTTTACTTTGGCCTTAAAATGATCGTTTTTGGCGTCTGCAAGTCTCTACTTCTTTGGTTATAGTGGTTAAAAATAAAACCACCTACTTAACCAAACATTTAACAAAAATATTCTTCCCACCCTTTGGTGAATTCTTCCAGAATTACTAAAGATCTGATAATATAGGATCTCAAAAAACAATTTCCAAGGAGCATTTAGATTATAGAGATTTAAACAAGGGGAGGGGTGGTATCTTAGTCGATTTTCCTTTTAAACACTGAAAAGTGTCATCAATGTTTTGTCAACTTTGGTCAAGTGGGATCAGATGTTCATGTCAGCCAGATACTTTTTCTTGGCCTTTCCTCTTTTTGGCCCCTTAATATCAGCACACTTTGTAAACTGTAGTAAAATACATAACATGCTTCTTGAAATCAAATCCACTGGTAATCATTCCTAGGCATTTTGCTCCCGTTAGGTCCTATAAAACAATAACATTAGTAATTCTCCCTAGAGACTATAGAAGGAAGCACTGAATTGATTCCTTCTCCAAAGGTAATTCTTCAGATTAAAACAAAAAGTCCGAAAAAAAAATTCAGACAAGAACTATTCCTCTTTTACTTTTTCACCAGTTAGTAATTTTAGATGTAAGGTGTAGATCTCAATGCCAATGCTTCTCCTCCCCCAAAGAATCACACACACAAAAAGAACTTTATGGTCGCACGATGGAAGCTCTATCTGACACAGTACCGGGAAAAAAATAAAATAAAATCATCTCACAGGCGTTCTTTCAAACTACAGACATCGATCACTTCAACTAAAGTCACAGCTAGGAATCAATTCTTCTCTGCTCCATGCAGGCACTGTAGACGCAAGTTTGCTCAGCAGAGGAACCGAGTGACGTGGGTTCTAGGTGGTGAAAACTAAGAGGCTAAAATTTCGTAAACTTTAAAATCATACACCAGGTATAGAAATAGAACACAAAGTGTGCAGCCAATGCAAATTCTGTCACCGACGAGACCAAGTAAAGCATCCACGGCTGAATGTTCTTCAAGTCACTCGGGCACGCCCACTGGGGATGAGACACACCTGTAGGTTGGGGTCCCCGGGGGCTTTTGGAAAGTCAGCTTTCCAGGGACAGGGGCTGCATTGGTTTTCCGCTTTGGGTAGATTTTACCAAGTGAGTCGGAAAAGGCTCGGTGCCTTGGTCCTCTGGTGCAGTCTGTTCTTCTAATTGGGTGGTTCTCAAATTTTAGTACAAAGAAGAAAACCCCCGGGGTGGGGGTGGGGGGGAGTCTGTGTAGGATGCAGACTCCCAGGACTCAACCTGGGCTCTCCCATTTCAACAAGCGACTCAGGCCCAGGTAACTGTGGCGCTGGGGATTCTTGGGACTCCCAGTTTGAGGAACCCTGGAGGGATCCCATTTATCAACCAAGATCTTACTGGATAGGAAATGCCGGGTCTCTGAACCTCACCAGCTGGCAGGCAAGGAAAACGCTTTCGGGTAGGAGGGAACGATCACAGTGGGGTAGGCGGGGCGCGTTTCGTGCAAGGGAAGGGAGGGTGGGAAACAACACACCTGGTTTTACTTCACTGGCTCGGGGGCCAGCCCGTGGCCCGGGAGCCCACCCACACTCCAGCCCCCGCGTCTCGCCCCGGGCCTGCCATCCCGGACTCCCATCCAACCAGACGTGCACCTACCCAGCCTCCGTTATCCTGGATCCAGGTGTGCAGGTGCCGGTTCAGGTACTCCGTCATCCACAGGGCGATGTTGTCCACCAGGGGCGACATCTCCCGGTTGACGCTCTCCACACACATGACCCCACCGAACTCAAAGAAGGCCACAATCCTCCCCCAGTTCACCCCGTCCCTGAAGAGCTCCTCCACCACCGTGGCAAAGCGTCCCCTCGCGGTGAAGGGCGTCAGGTGCAGCTGGCTGGACATCTCCGCGAAGTCTCGGCGGTAGCGGCGGGAGAAGTCGTCGCCGGCCTGGCGCAGGGTCAGGTGGACCACGGGCGGCACG